CATACATATACAGTAATAAAAATGTAACAATCAACATAATCTCTAAATGTAATGAACAATATAATCTAAATAAGATATGAACAAAAAATAAATATTTCATTTCATAAACAATATGCAAACACAAAAATAGTATTAGAAAAAACATTTTGCATGTTAAACTTTAAACTTCTTTTTCTTTTTTTTGTTTCTTTATTTTAACGAAATACTTCTGTAATATTTTACCAATTGCGCACTATAATCAATGACCATCATCTTGTGCAGCACATGCTTGCTGTTGCTTTTGCACCTATTGCTGTTGTTGATTTTGTTTAGCGGAATCTGTTGTCATGGGATTTTTTGGTATTTTTTGTGTTAGATCAATTAATATATTATTACGTTCTGTTTGTAGCTTTACCATTTTTTTAATTGATTTACGCAATTTTTTGGCTTCACGTAATTTGTCTTTCTCAACTTGTAAAGCGTTTTTTCTAAATGCATCATAGTTTCTTTTGCGGATGTTAACCTTCGTTTTCTTATCTGTAAAAGAAAAAATCTTATTGGAGATTATATAAATAAATACCATAACCAACAAGATATAAATACTTTACACGATCGAAGCTGGATTAAGTGCTTAAAAAATTCAATACTGTATATGTATATTGAAAATTGCGCGCCAAATTTGTCGGATTTTAAAACACAATTCCGATGGAATTATGTATATAGAATATTTGTTTTGTTTTATACATGTATTGAGCCTTGTTATTACTTATTAGTATAATAATTTTATGCTAGAGGGCAATTTGAAAAGCTCTTAATAATGCTGATAAACATATTTTTTTAAATCTTACATGTATCACGAGTAGTAGTCTCTTTCCCATCAGAACTACATGATGCGATATCGGTGTTTTCTTTATCCATTAAATTCGACAACTCAGAACTCGTTCGACTAATTGTAAGAGATGGTAATTCTTGTCTATCTGGATTTATTACTTCGTTGTTCTCTGTTATGACGGTCATACTGCTCAGTACATTATCCATGGCAATAGATATATCTCTGTCAAATATATTGCAAAAGGTATCATAGTATTCCCATGAAATTGCACCTCCTCCAGCACTAGTTTTTTTTATTACTATCATGTATCTTTAAATAAGTTTTTTTCATGTTTCGAAACTTTTTATCTAGGACTTCGGTATTTACTATGCAACCATATTTGGTAAATTCATTTTTTATTTGAATCCATAATAATTTTTTTTTAATGTTCGGATTCCGAAATTTGATTTTTCTTTTTTCGTATTTGTTTAACAATAATTGTATTGTACTGTGGGTCCATATGAATGTGTCATCTAAAAAAAGATATAAAATATTAGGTTAACTTAAATATTAGACTAATTCTCTTCTGCAGGACTTCGAAGATCGCTCTCAAGGAATATCGGGAGTAATCGGTGCGATCGATGGTTGCCATATTCAAATAATGCAGCCAAATAACAATTCAGTGGATTATTACAATAGAAAAGGCTTCCATATTGTTATTTTGCAAGGCGTATGCAATAATAGAAAATTATTTATAGATGTACATATAGGTGTGCCAGGAAGGGTTCATGATGCACGCGTTTTCCGAAATAGCCCTCTCTTTCAAAACATAATGTATCATAATTTAATTCCAGCAAGATATCATTTAATTGGGGATAGCGCTTATCCATTAAGTCCATTTTTAATGATACCATTTAAAGATAATGGTCATTTATCACAGGAACAAATACGATACAA